GCAATAGAAAATTGATTTTTTACAATGGTCACTTAAATATACCCATACCTCATCGAGTGTTACCACAAATTTCCATTTTTCAGCAGCTATGTGTTTTTTACATAATTTTCTACACTTTTTTTTCTTTCAGCAAACTGTTTCAAAAAAGGAGACGAACTTTAGGTTTATGCATCTTTTTAACGTTAAATCTTTGTGAATGATTCTAATCACAGTGCCGGAAGACATTTCCTAGTTTCGATACAATGAATCTTTGAGTCGGCGGATTTTCTTTTAGGATCAGAGACTTCACTTTCGTGATAGTTGCCTGCGTTTGAACAGTCTTAGGATGAAGTTTCGTGGTCATGTTTTCATTTTTACCTTTTGCTAGACGCTTTTTCCCTTCAAATTTAATACAGCATAAATACTTTTGATTGAAATACAATAACCGAGATTTTTTCACCCTTTTTAATTTGTTGATAGGAATATTTCTCCTTGGAAAGCGTAACTATATAACATTTGAGACATATATCGTTTTTAAATAGGAGCCATTTTTAAAATAAATCTTGTATTTTATATTCCAATCAAAAGAAAACCTTAGCAGACAGTTATTCTAAAGTTGACAAAGTTTTATTTCAAAATGAAAACGAGAAAATGAATTACAAAATCATTTCCAAAAAGTTAGAATCACTTTTGTATAAGGAAATATAGCTCCGGGGACGTACAGCAGGAAGTGTAGTGTTCCAAAATCTTCATGACGTAGAACGTTCTGTTCAGGGTCCCTTCAATTTGAAGCAGGTGGAATATCCCCCATGATATCAAATACCACTCTAGACTATAACACCAAGTGTTCGTGCAGTATGATGTTGAATAAGACATTTCGAGAGAAAGCATTCATATCCATAGCGTCAGACAAATACTCGTTCATCGATATAGTCCATATTGTAGAGGGATTTATCTAAAATGACTAATTGTGCCAATAGGCTCGCCACTGGATGTGTTGGTGAGCCCGACGTAGCCAGAAGAGTCACTTGCATATCGTCCTCTGCGCAGAAGTCTTAGCATGCGTTCTGTGGAGCAGCAGCCGTGGGGGCATACAAGGAAATGTCTGTAGACGCTCATCAGTAATGAGCCAATTAATAAGAGGACGCTGTACGGTCTATGACCAACATGTGGATACAGTTTCTGTCATCATAATACATGTCCTACTTCTAGGGTCTCGACTTGTCCGGTTTTTATGATCCATCTTCTTAATACTATCTTCACTGTTCAGGCATTGCACCCACTGAGAGTGGCAATATCCTGATATGAAAGCTTACACTCACAAGGGCCAATCACATGGTACTCTGAGTTTTTGCCCAGGCATATTGACTTAGAATCAATAACATGCATTAAACGACGATGCACACAATTCAACCAATTTTTGTAGTGATTTTTGTACTTGACTCACTTGGAAGATAAGAAGGTGCTTCTGAACCAACAAATAGGTCATCATTTTGAAATTTGAATCATTTGCATTTCCTAACTCTGTTTTGAATTTTCTATAATTTATGATATGTATGATTCTTTCATGGAGCTGCAGTTTTCACAAACGATATTATAAGGTTAAAAATTAGGGAAAATTTATATATTGAGTCGAAAGGCAAATTAAAGCTAAGATCAGTGAGTTTTGATTTATTATTCGTTTAAGCAAAACAGAAAGCTCAAAATAACTTTTTACAAGAGCACTACAGCGGATTTTTTAAATGATGCTTAACGATTCAGAGCCCATGTTGGCATAATGTCGAAGTTTGGAGAATGGGGTACCTAGCAGCTCAAATGTCGTTCTCGCCACTTGATCGAGGTTGAGAATTAAGAGGTCCGTCACTAGAAGCCTTCATGTTATTTTAAAGTACAACGTCAATAAAAATAAATCAAAAATAAAATTAAAAATAAAAAGCTGCACTTGAGTTCTTTATATATATATATATATATATATATATATATATATATATATATATATATATTGTTACGAATTTTGTGTAAATAGTGTAAATAATTTGTATATTTGGATATTTAATGCATTTATATTACTCTATGTTATACTTATTTTATGTTAAAATTGTACTATTCACAAGCAAAGCCGCCCCTTACGTTATAATGGCGATTCAATGAGAACTTCGCGAAATCTTGGCGGTAGAGCCAGGTTGGCATCATTTTTGGTAACCAAGTTGGCGTCCGATTTGGCGTCATTGGCGACCATATTGGTGAGTTCGGAACCCTTTGGATTTTTTAGAAATTTGTGGAAAGTAGTGGATCTCGCCACTAATGTCATGCTCTATGACACACGAACAGTTATATCTTTGGAAGTTTCTGCCGCGCCTATAAATAGAGATGCTCGCCGATACTAGAGTTAGTCTTGATTTAATCAGCGAGTAATGAGCATAGTTTTGACTAGCAATTAGCTCGGCTGAGCTTGTGAATAATCTTTTACTTACGTGTATTTTTAAACACTGATGATTGTGTTTGATTACTGTTGAAGGTGTAAAGACCTTCGGATATTTACCCTGTGAATATTGCTGCTGAATCCTATATTTAAAAGATTGGAGTTTTGATAATAAATTCACATCGCTCTTAAAGAACTGTTTATTTTCTTTGTGATTGTTTTGAATAAAATCCTCGAACCCGGATCTACGTAACAACAACAATAATAATATATACGTACCGTAAAATCCGGCGTATAACGCGCACTTTGAACACAAAAAATAAGATCGAAAGTTAAGGGTGCGCGTTATACGTCGGGTATAAAAACGATAGCTTTAATAATAACAAAAAGAATGGACATAAAAAAAAAATTACTTCTAGATGTATCGATACAATGTTTATTTAAGAGAAACAACTTGCCTTATGAACAAGAACAGTTGTAGTTCTAGAAGTATGCTATTTTTTCAAAAGTCTGGGATAATACCTTGAATAAATTACTTCAAAACATAAAAACAATGCATATTAATATTTCAGATTTCTTCGTTAAAAAGGGGGTGCGCGTTATACGGCGAGCATACCTAAAAATTAAAAAAATTGGCTTGAAAGTGTAGGTGCGCGTTATACGCCGGATTTTACGGTATATATGTCAGGTTTGAAAAATTTAGCTTAAAAATTAAGTAAATAATAAATAAAAATAGAACGAACTCTTTACCATCGCGTAAGATAAGTGGGTAAATAAGCCTATTTAAAGGTGGAGCGAGCGCTGACGAAGAAGAACGCATATTCGAAAAGGCTTAGCTGGTGACTCCTCGCCGAATTGGTTGTAATTGTTCTACTCGGTTGAGCGCCAAAGGGCCGCCATGTTGGATTTTATGTGATTGAAGCAAAATAAAGAAGTTATTATAGAGATGATGTCTTCCTCATTTTACCAGCAGGCCTGGGGCCTGTCATATATACTCATACAAATACTATTATACTTCCAACTTTTTCTATGATACGACGTATATTAACTTCATTTTTTTGAGTTAAGTATATAAAGAAATAAAAAATATCACTAGATTGCAATTACTTTGATAATAAAAATATTTCATTTAAAAAATGAACTAATTAAATTTTGAATTTAAACATTGAAAAATTACTTCTTTCACATTGAATTATTAATAAATTCACACAACAGCGAAGGAATACTCATAATTCCATATAATGTACAGCAATAAATTTTTCTTTTAATTTTGTTTATCAAACAACAAACTTTAATTTTCACAATATTTTTCTAAAACCGTCAAATTGCTTAGAACATTTTCTTTTCATATCTTAAGAAGATAACGAGTGTATATTAGCTCATTTTCTTGCATATTAAGAAGTTGTCAAAAGATTAATTAAACTATTTAAACGATAAAAATCAAACAAGCGAAATTATTTTTTGCCTCCAGAGAGGAAAGCGTTTGACGAGAAATTATCACTTGTGTGAGTAATAAAAAAAAATTAATAACGCAGCTAGAGTAAAGGGAATAAAGATTTTTGCACGCCTACGCTATTTAGTTTAGAAAGGAGAAAAAAATAATAATTCTGTTTGTAAGCACTTTTAGTAAATAATAATTAAAGGTCAAAGATTAAGTGTCATTGCATAGTCGGAAGCGAGAGAAGGTACCCTTCTCTTTTTTATCAATTAATAAACTAGAAAGTAGTAATTAATTTTTATACCGAGATAAAACCTTATTTCCTGAGACGCAATTAGGGAAGGATCATGTTTTCTCCTAACTATGAAGAAGATTTTTACATTAATAAAGAGTATACAAATGAAGGCAGTTTCAACTTATACGGGGATAAAAATAATAATAAAAGAAACAAGGAATGTAAGATTAATTAATTTATAGCGTGAATGTGGATTTATCCATATTTATAAAAAAATATTTGGTAGCTCATTAAGGTGATGTAAAAATAGAACTAAGCACTCCTAAACAGAAAATTATTTCGAGATTCTTTGTACACTAATCACCTATTCATTCACTCAATACCCCGCAATCAAAGGAACTTTGTTAAATAATCATTCGAAATATGACCCTTATTAGTGGATTTATTGAGTAAGGAAATGTTTTTTATCCTATACATATATATATCTAATGTTTTATTTGTATATATCTAAATCTGGTAGCGTGAATTGTTTTCAGTAAGTTCTGATGATGTAATATATAAAAATTCGATTTATTCAATGCCACTCGGTGAAAAAAAGAGTTTAGGAAACTAACTCTAAATGAAAGGCTCCTAAATACACCCAATTCTTTTTTCCAATTCCTGCTATTACTTAACTCTCTCCTTATATTTATATATATATATATATATGTATATATCCTGTTAAAATTTTCAATCGTTAATAAAATTCTTTTTATTTATCCATTCAAATTCAAATATGTTTTCTTACAATTGTAGTGGATGGCACTTGATGTTAATACGTTTTCTCCAAATATTAATTCATTAGTTAAACTTAATTAATGAATATATAATAACAAGCAAAAATAATAATCCAACACCATATATAAAAAGGAAAATCGCCTCGTTGTGTCCCTGTAGCGCAATGGAGAGCGCGTTGTACTTCTAATCCAAAGCTCGTGGGTTCGAATCCCACTTGGGGTGGCCTAATTTCTAAGAATGTGATTTCTTTTTTACTATACTATTTTATTAGAATAATTAAAAGTTTAATTAATGAATAAATAGTAACAAACAAACGAAAATATAACACTCTATACAGAAAGGAAAATGTAAAATTGTAAGGAAAATCGCTTTCTCTTTCGTCACTTAATATTGTGATTCCGAAAAAGTAACTAAAATAAAATTTTTCTTTGTTGACCTAAGTAGGAATTGACTTAATTTTTTTTTTTACTGTACTTGTTTTTTCTGATGAAACTGGTCTCCCTATTGCTCCCTGAGATTAAAACCAATTAGCGGTCATCTTGGCTTTGGATATTGCTTTGGTCTCCTGTAAATGTTCCCATAATCTGGAAACCAAGTTTTGGGACACATTGATTAATCTTGCTGCTTTCACCTGGAATTATGCATGGCCTGTCTCAATTTCCCAACTGTTATTTCTATTGTAATATGTATCCATATATTGTCTTTGTGAGTTTGATAAATTTCAAAAATATCTTAAGCCATCAGAAACTCGAGCAAATTAAGAGAAGAGAGAAGTCTTTGATGTCCCTGTCATCTATTCTCTTAATTTATATAACGTAAAAAAGATCGAATTTGATTGGATAATTAAGAAAATTATCTTTTCTTCGATTTAACTATTAATTTTCATAAAAAAAGTGGCTCAGTATATGGAAAATCCGTGAAAATGTGTTTGTTCTTTAATTTTTGAAAAACCCCCAGTGTTGAATATGAAAACTAATTCAGTAACAAGTAATTAAAAAAGAATTAAGTCAATTCATACTTAGGTCTACAAAGAAAATTTTTATTTTAGCTACTTTTTATCAAATAATTACTATTAATATAAAATATGTATATACATAGGACAGAATCACAATATTAAGTGGCAGTTAATTTTTATTCATTATCATTAAAGTATCGTATTGTCATCCAAAACGTAATCGTGTATATGAAATTTCAATTCAAATGAATGCTTTAAAACGTGAGAAAAAAAAATCTTTTAAAGTTTTGACCCAAGTCACTAAAAATGAAGCCAACGTGGATCGGTATCTGTAATTCTTTAAATAATTAGTTTCAATCAATTAAGTTTAATTAATTATAATTAAATTACCATATTTTCATCCAAAATAATAGTGTGTGTAAAATTTCAGCTCAACTGTACTCTTTAAAATGTATTTTATTAACGATTGAAAATTTGAACAAGATATATATATAGGGAGACTGTGAACTAATAGTAGGAATTGAATATAAGAGATTTGATTGAATGATTAAGAAAATAACCTTTTTTGCGATTTAACACTATAAATTTTTATTAAAAATGTCTCAATGTATGGAAAATCCGTGAGAATGTGTTTGTTCCTTAATTTTTGCAAACCATTGTAGAATATAAATACATAAACAATACGAAAATATAAAAACTATTTTGATAAAAAAAAATCGGTTTCGACTAACCTATTTTACTAAATAATAATTCTGAATTATTTGGCAGCTTCTATCTATAAAGCCAAAGAAATATAGATTATTAGCTATCCTTTCAACAAAGTAAAGAATCGAATTTATATGTAAGAACTTGGGCCATTTTCTTTCAGATACAAATACATCCTCAAAGTTCGTTACCCGATAATCCTCTTCTTAAAGTGTTTATCTACAAAAGTACAAGATGTCTGGGAGTCATTGACCATATATATGTCTAGAAAAGTATTAGAATCACCACATGCATTTTAAGCATTAGCACAGGAAAACTGTATTAGGCAACATGATGAGCCGGAACATAAAGAATATATGAAATGAAATTTACATAAAATAAATAAAAAAAATACTCTGTGAAAACGCGTTATTCAGTTTGATGTCGGCTTTTTTCCAGATTCGTACTTTTAAAGTTGAAATTTAAATATAAAATTTAATCTAAATAAAATTAAATAAAATTTAGATAAGTAATAAGGAATCTTTCAATCAAGGCGGTAAAATGCATTATTTGCTATTAAATGAGAATTATACAGAGAGGCCATTTCATTTAAATGATATATATTATTTAAATATTTGAGAATTCATTCTAAGAGAATTGATTTTCAAATCTACGCATGTTTTAATTTCACAAAGATTGCTATGATGCAAATTTTGAATTGGAAACTAGGCCTCAAAGTCCCTCTCGTGGTGAGATGTGAAAGCTAGGAGAGAGGAATTAGCTCTACTGTGGCTCTCATCTTGCCCGGAAGGTCCATCCTGAACATATTACCGCAGTGCGTCACACACACACACATTAATTCCAAATTTCTTTTAAAGGAACTTTAATTTTATGTATCAAAACTAAACTATTTGGAATTCTACTTATTGTTTATATTACTTTTTCAATTCTCAATAATAATTTTTTTTGTTCAACTTTTGAACTACTGTTTTTACAACGAATACACCTCGTAAATATGAGCACTAATCCTATGTGGTTAGGTACTCTTAATTTTTCAGATTGTACCATATGGAAATTTGAGGCACAGTTGTATTTAAAATACATCAGAGCTCGCAGTATTCCATACGATGATCTTAGTGTGAATTAGGATTCGAACTCATGATGCTTTCAAGCCCATAACCTTAATCACCAAGGTATAGTCCCCCCCTTTTTTCCCGGGCGTCACCCAGCCACGCTCAACGGGCGAGGGGGGCATCCACCCCCCTTTCCTCTTCAAATTTTCACACCACACCGATGTGGAGATTTTCAACCTTGAAAGATTTAACGAGCATCAATTCCTTAACGTGGTGGATTTTCAGTGGCACCAGGACTAACCCATTTTGACGGACCCAAAAAACTGGTTTGGAATTGGGACCATGACCCTTCGGTTTCCCCGGTTTACATTTCAAATTTTTTTTTTTCCCCTTTCAAAAGGGGGGCCCGCAGATTGGAAATTTCCCCTTTGGCCCCGAATTCCCGGTCTGGTATATTTTTGGGGGTGGCACCATATAGGTGGATATAAACCCACAATGAAATTTTTGACGCCCAGTTTCTTAGAGGGAGGCCCCTTTGAGCGGGAAAATGGGGGAAACCCGCTAGGAATTTCAATTTGTCCAGGCACCCCCCAAATGGGGGCACTGGGGGGCCCCAAACACTCCCCCTTCCGCTTTGGGACCCCGTCGAATTCCACGGGACTTCGGCTGGGATCGGAAGCGGTTTTGGGCCAAAAAAGCCGGTGCCCCCCAAAAATCGCACTCAGTCGGCATTTCAAAATATATTGATGATCTTATTTTGGGGAAATTTTTAAATTTCCCCAAAAGAAAATTTAAATTTGAAAAATTTTCGTTTTCCGGTTTTGGGATAATTTAAAAAAAAATGTTATGGATGAAATTTTAATACCCCCCCCGAAATAATAAACGTATGAAATACAAAGATTTTCTAAAATTAAGAAAAAAATTGAAAAGATTGTTTAAATGTATTTCTTTAAATTTATTCAATGATATTCTTTTTTTTAAAACCATCAGTGTTTTAAAACTTAAATCGGGCCCCCTTTTTTTTTAATACAATTTTTAACGCCCCCTTTAAATACTTTAATAAAATTACTGAATGCAAAAACCCCCCGCGCAAAAAGCTATAATACACGATTTTAAATTATAAACCGCAAATTAAAAACATAATTTTAAAATTTTTTGTATATGTTACTTTTAAGAAAAAAAAATAAGTAATAGGAAAATTATTATTTTATTTTTCCTTTCTCTGTTTTTTAAAATTGGAAAACATATTGCAAAATTGGGTGGTTTGCTTGAAGAAAAAATTTAAATTAAACCCCTAAAAAAAAAAACCCTAAAAAGGGGTCAATTTCTAAAAACCAAAAAAACTTTTTCCAAAAGACAAAACCCAAATGGGCCCTACTTATTAAATTTTGTTTCTTAATTCAGTATTAAAAAAGGTAAGTATTAAATTTTTTATATATGTTCCCTTTTTAAAAGTAATTTTATTTTTTTAAGTAAATTATTTTTAAGAAATTAGGTTAATTATTTTATTTTTCTCTCTCAAATTTTTTAAGGGGGGGAAAACAGATTGAGAAATAATTTTTAAATTTAAAAAGATTTTTTTCCCCTTCCCAAGATCCTTTTTCAAAAAATTTAAAATGTCATTAAAAAAATTTACCCTAAATTATTTGCTCTTTATCAAAATCCTTTTACACCCGGCATTCTGGGAACGTTAATGTGAGCCCAAGGAACCCTAACAGACGTCGGGCTGCACAAAACGTAAAAATACTAAAATTCTCAAAAACCCCTAATAATCGGCTGAACGTTGTTAAGAATCTTTTTGGAATGTACATTTCATAATTCACGCGTTTTGAATTCACGGTATTAAGTATTTACGGCAGTGGATTATAATAAAATCATAGATATTTTTTTTAAATAAAAAAGGAAAAGCATTCGACGATAATAAAGCATCAACAAGTCCCAAGAAGGGGCAAATTGAAAAGAAAGGGTTCGAATGGGTTGGGGGACCCCTTTTCCCCAAAATACTTCAAAAAGGGCCCCAACCCCCAAAAAGGGAATTTTCATAGTTTTTCCATCCCAATGGCGAAATTAAAGGGAATTTTGTAATAAATCACCTTTGAATTTGAATGAGGTGGTGCGTTTTTCTGCATTTTGAAAAAAAAAGGGGCATTTCGTATACTTTTTACCTTTTTTTAACACCCTTCCCTTTTGTGAACCCCTTTTTTTCGCGATGGCTACTTTGAAGACAAAAAATAGACCCGGGGTTAAATAGCAAAAATAACCGAGTGTAAATTTTCCCTTTTAGCCCTTCCTTTAAAACCCCCTTTGCTCTCCCAAAAGCCCATAAAAATTCACTGAAATTATTAAACTTGTTTTTTATACTGGCTGAAGTACCCATCAACACGAGTTTTTTTTTTTAAAAAATGATAATATATTATTTTGGGATATAATAATTTAAAATTTGGGGAGAGAAAAACCCAAAGTGCATGAAAAAATGTATACAAAAATGTAAAATGATTTATTGAAATGAA